TTTGCTCAGTCAAAATATCAGTCACCCATCTTTTTATATCTACATTTATCGTAAGAAATATGAAGCAAATTTACAATCAAAAAAGCGGTTGTCAAGACTTGCAATGAGTCTACTTTTCTAATGTTCTAGTTTCTTCTGGAAAAATTATCATTCAACGACGATAAATAAGTTGCATGAACACCTTAAAGGAACTAATTTGCAGTTTGTAGTCCAGTTCGGCAGATTGAAAAAATCCACTGAAAAAGATACCAGACAAACTAAAACTAGAATATTATTTCCAAAGTAACAGTTGTTTTTTAGTCCTAGCCAGCAAAATTGAAAACTGTCACCTAAAGATACATGACATGCTAAAACTACAATATTCTTTCCAAAGTAAAATATTGACAAAGTAACCTGGGACCGAGAGAGCTCGATATCCACCAATGAAAGTTTCAATACACACGGCGGAGAGGATCGCGGTCTCAACTGATACATGCACTCCTGGAAATTGAGCTATGGGAGGAGATGGAAGTTCGCGTTAGTCCGCTTTTTAATACATACATCCCAAGCACCTGAAAGATCTCTAAACAAGTCAAGGGAAAAAATATATATAAATTATTTGATTGCCGGGTTAGTGATTAAAGTGCTAGCTTTGTTACCAATCCCACATCGTTATTCCTTTTTGCAAAACACGTTTGAGCGTCTATTTCAAGACATAAATGCTTTTGTCTTTACAGTCACAAACCAAAATACGACCATCTGGTGTTGTCGCTATTGCGTTCGGATCTCCTAGCCTAAGAACAGTTTTGCCAATAAAACGACCTTCCATTGTAAACTGTTGGATGCGTCCATTATCACTGTCACACACCAAGAGACTCTGATGATCGCCATATTTCTCAACACACAAACCCCATGGATATGAAAATTGTCCATCAGCTTCGCCTTCTTCTCCAATCTTGTATAAGAACTCCCCTGCTTTTCCGAACACTTTCAAACAATGGTTTCCACTGTCAGATACAATGAACTTGTTTTTATGATAAATGCATCCACTAGGTTCGCATAGCTCACCAGGACCATTGTCTCCAAATTTGGACATGAATTTACCATCTACGTCAAAGACCTGGATTCTGTTGTTCAAGCAATCCGCCACAATAACATGTCCTTCATCACTAATGAAAATTCCTTGAGTTGCTGTAAATTCGCCATCGCCAGTCCCTCTCTTCCCAAAGCTCTTCACAAAGTTCCCTGTCTGTACATTGAATTGTTGAATTTGGCCATTATCGTCATCCCCCACCAGAACCTCGTTATCATTCAGGAATGTAATTCCAGCTGGATTAGCCAGCTGCCCAGGCCCTTCTCCATAGCAGCCAAATTCTCGCACAAAATTTCCATTTTTATCAAATATTAGGATGCAGTGTTCTTCATTGTCACTCACAGCGATCGTTCCTTTGCTGTTGACAGCAATCCAATGGGGCCTCTCGGGAATTTCTCCTTTGAGAACTAACTCCCCCATAACATCAATCCTTCGTTCCTTCACTTGAACCCTAAGAGGACTGGTAACAAGTTTGTCGCCATTTATCATAACTGTAATGTTGAAGGTGCCAGGTACTTTAGGAACAAACTTCACGTGGATATCATCATTTTCGTTTTTAAAAGTTCTTAAACTTGTTACATCTTCAGCGGGTTCTATGAGCACTCTAACATCAAATTCACGCTGGCATTTACTTGTAAGCTCTTCTTCACTCTTTCGCTTTGGACAAATCAGAAGCTCTGCTTCCACACCAGCTTGGAGGTTTTCAGTAAGAACTTCCAACGATGACAACCGTACATCTGTTTCATTGGTTATCACTGACCCCAGGTTTAGGTTGTCGAGTGCATTAGTCGAGAAAAACTTTACGAATGAGCAAACCGGAAGCGAAGGGACTGTGGCCTTGTCGAGATCTCCAAATCGCTGCTCCAAACTCTTCTTACTTTTCATAACATCTGAACTGGAGCTTCTCTCAACCAGGTCTTTTGCAAACTGAACAGCTTGGTCAAGTTGTTTCATCAGTGACTTAACTTGTTCGTTAAGAGAGTTTATTTTCTCTATTCTAGACACGCGTGTATTCTCGAGGACTTTTGTAGCTTCCCGCTCGTGTTCTCGAATCTTCGCGATCATTTGTTTGGCTGTTTGGGAAACCTCTCGTTTAGCAGCGGTAACATAATTTTCCAGCTCTTCATAAACCTGTTGAAAAGTTTTAATGGCATTGCTACAGACTTTCTTCTTT